TTGCTTATCATAATGACACTTTTCTCAGTCACAAGTCACCCCCTATGGATTTGTGGCCTGGATTGAATACAGTACTCAATAGAGAGATTCTCAGTGGGATCTGGTGATCTAGCGACATCCAGCCGACACATCTGGTGTGCGGCAGCCTGTAGCTCACACTTATTATATTATTTATTTATTTTTACTTTTATTTTTATTTATTTGTGGGGGTATTATTTGATCATTTTTTTAAAATAATGCCTTACAAGTTGACTGAAAATTCCATCCATATGTTGCATAACTAAAAGTGCTGCTACATTGAAGCCTGATTTTATTTCTGTACTTTTGTCCATGATTTTAAATTACTTACTTGGCACGATTTGAAGGAAGTATGTGATAATATAGGCATACAGTTCACACAATACTCTGTGGTGGTGTATACGCTTTCATTACATACTACTTTAGGCTAGGGAGGCTTGATTATGGCAAGAAATTAAGGCAATAATTTTGGTCAATATTAAGGTCATGATTATTTAACACGATTACTTGTTGACTTTGAAAATATCATACATTTATTGAACTTTACAAAAAAAAAACTTTTCAGCAGTGGATTTCCTTGAACTTTAAATATATTGCAACTGGAAAAATAGATAAAATAACTGAATAACTAATAACATAATAATAAGATAAATAATATATAGTATATGCATATGTACATTTAAATAAATAAAAATGATAAATACAAATAAACAAGATCAAAATAAATAAGATCAACTGTGTTGTAGTGGACTTTTACAACCCACTGAAAACTACTAAACGAATATAAAAATAATAAATAAAAATAAATTGGACCAAAATAAATTAGTTTGGGCATTTAGGTAGGGATGAAAGTGCACCTCTAGAAAGGAAAGGGGCACGCTGGATTTATAATGCAGACAAAATGAGAGCATCATTGTGAAAAGGAATGCAGCACAATAATCATTTTATCTCAATTATCTTGTTTTCATAATCGTTGGAAGCCAAAGTTCTAATTGAAAATAAAATTCAGTTAATTGCCCAGCCCTACTTTAGACTGTAGCTCCAGTGCAAAAACAAAGAAGTAAACTGGACTTAAGACACTGGGCATGTCTTGACTGTGTACACATTTACTGTGTAAATCAGATTCTATTCAGATTCTATTTAAATCCCAAATTAATAAAATATAGTATCAACCCAATCATTGTCAAAGGGAAACTAACTGAAAGACAAAACTGTTGATGTAATATATTTTACTTATGTGCAAATGATGCGCACATTTAAATCAAGCAAATTCAGCACATTACATTTTTCAGTGTGCATAAGCTGTATTGAATTGCGTGCATGGGCTTGTGTTTGCCAGAGAGAGAGAGAGAGAAAGAGGGAGAGGGAGGTGTGGTGAGGGAGATGGGGTGTAGGAGGCAGCTCTGTCACATCTGGAAGAAGTTTTTGTTGGGGGATTTGGCTCGTTTTGGACCATATCAGCTCGTCATTGCCAAGACCAAGCCTCTGAGGTTTCCCCCATCTTGACTTTTAAGCAAACATTTGGAGGAGAGCCGGAAAAAAGAAAAGGAAGACAAAAAAGGCCTTCTCCACTCGCCTTGCTGTTGCTGGCAGGAGCACAAAGGCTTGCTGTTGAGATGGAGGGGCCAGTCGGACCAGCAGAGGCCTTGTGCACTTCCGACTGCACTTTTAACGTTCAGCTTATAACGCACAAACACAAACACGCACACATGTACATGCTATCTGAATATCAGAATCATTTTATCCATTTACTTTGTATAATGTGATCTCAAGGTTTCAGTTTTGCAGTGTTTTGACACATAGAAGCAAAATAAAAATCAGCGAACCACAGATACCAAGGCACAAATCTGAATTTCGACTTCAACTTGTAATAGATTTGTAAGAGAATGACAGTTACTTCAGCACTTTATTCAAAATTCAGTCAAAAATCTGGACATATCCGACTGAATGTATGCTTTTTATAGTTTTAAAGACATTTTGATGTAAAAGTTTATGCTTAAATGGCCCGTATACTGTAGTTTTTTGTATATTGTTCTTTTCCATGAGGTCTACTAATAACATTTGTGTGATTTTACATACCAAAAACAGTCGTAATTTATTTTTAGTAATTGTGTAATCCTGTTCTGACTGGCTGCCCTGTATTGTGCATATTTGAAAAAGCAGTCCAGGCTGAAACACTAACGTTGAAACATGTAAATGCAGTGATTTTTGTGACATGGCTGTTTTGCAGTTAATTTTCCTATATGGACTTTTCATTTCAATACAAAAGAAAATTTGTTTTTTTCCCTTCAACAGCTACATAAATTAAACGCTAAATATTTGTTTACCACTTCTTTTGGTCACTGCATTGTTCCATAAATATTATTTTGTGATTTTGTTGACCTGACTGCTGTTCTAAAATGTGGAAAATGGTAAAAATAAGGAAAAGCCTTTTATGACTAGATGCATAAAACTTTTAACTAGCACTGTAATTCAGTCAGAACTACAGTCGTCCAGCCTTGGCCTTCACTGGTCTTTGGTTTCAAACCATCAGAGAGCAATACAGTGCCAGTGATCTGTTTCATCTGTTCCAGCACATCCTGCTGAGTGTGTGTGTGTGTGTGTGTGTGTGTGTGTGTGTGTGTGTGTGTTTGATTGTGCCACCCAGCAGTGATGCCTAATGCAGTCATGGCCAGACAAACGGAAATGAACCATAAAGTTGTATAAATCCTCCTCCTTTTTCTCCGTGCTACACTGTAATAATATTGATCAAAGAATCACCATCATTTGTTTTTACAGCAAGCAGCATCCACATGTAATGAAATTCTATTTCTAGCTCATAAATGTTAACACTGTACCCCAGAATCTCCAAAGTAACTGGATTAAATTACAGAAAGGCCCTTAAAGACTTTCTCAGGAGGTGGGTGGACTTTAATCACGTCCTTGTAAAGAAAATAAAAGAGCCGAGACCACACAGGAGATGCCGTCAAGTTCTCACCAGTGTTTCAGCCCAAACGAGGACGTCTGGTGGCTGCACTAATTTCGTGAGCCAAAGAGTATGATATATTTCCCCGCTACATTTCTGTAGGGTAACCACATCGTTGGGGATGGTAGAGAAGGGTGTTTTCAGTTTTACCTCAAACTAAAGCCAGGCCTTTCCCTCAGAAACATGTCCTGCCCTCAGACGTTTGGTTTATTTATTATTATTTCAGCTCTGATTTTGCTATTTGAGCTCTGCATCAACATTCTGCTGGATAGGAATATTTTCAATAAGTGACAATTTTTCTATACTGTGGAGCACTGCTTCTCAGTCTTAGTCTTGATGGCCCCTTGCTGTGCCCTTTATAGTGTCATCATGCTCTCAACACAACCTAATTCATTTTATCAGCTGATTAACAAGAACTCACTAGATGTGTTAGAGCAGAGTAAGCACTAAAATGTGCAGGTGACCCCCAGGACCAGGGTTGGGAACTTATGCTGTAGGCAGGGGTGCAAAATACTTAAGTGATTGTACTTTGTTACGGTCCTTAATTTTATTTAAAAAAATGAAAAACAAACAAAACTTTACACATTTTAAAACTAAATTGAATACTTGTACTCAATTACATTTACAAGAGAAAAAAACAGACTTTTGACTCCTGACGTTTTCATAAGGTTATGATATTTTTCTATGCTTCTATTTTTTTCCTGCCATAAGTTAAGTTTGGTTGCATTTTAATCATTTTTATGAAAACGTTTTATATTAGTCTTAAAATGATAGAAAATGAAAAATGAAAATGAAACTGCCCATAACTTTGTCTCACAAGGCCAGACATGTATTCGAGATGAGAACGTCTGTGGACAACCATGAGTAATTTAGGGCTAAATTTGGGTAAAAAAAAACCATAAACTTATTAGGGTGAAAACAAACTTAAACTCACAGATTTCTAAACCAGTCCAAGACCTTGTGAAGGCAAAGTTCAAAGTAGGGGGCTTGGTGCAGTCAGCAACACTGTCTAATATACAACAGGCCTGTCAAAAGTATGAATGTGATATAAGTTAGAATTTAGCATTAAAACTTCCCCCCAAAAAAGTTAAGCATAGTGTGTGCCATGTGTGCAGAGAACACATTACATGCAGTAAAAATAAATGTTAGCTACTTCTTGCAAGAGGAAAACGGTTCCATTAGCTAATGATAACATTTTGCTACCTAACTCATTTTGGCTATTGATTTTAGTAGAAAAGTACAGACACGAGGAATTTTTTGGCAGTTTTTACAGGGGGTATAGTCTTGTTTGGGGTTTATTTCACCAGCACCAGAAGTTGTCTCCAGATGTGTATTCTTGTTGAGAGTTGTTGTAAGACAGCTAAGACAATTCAATGTGACTTGACACAATTCCCTTTTCAAACCAACATGGCAGACAAAGCTGCGTATAAGCCATAGCAGTACAACACTTTAAAATGCTTAATATTTCAAGACCGTAACATTCGATTTGCTGGGCTTTTGTTTACAAACTACTTCATCTGTTATTCATGACTACTGATACATCTTTATCACTTTGCTAGCTTGCTAGTTAGCTACTCTGCTAGCTTGCTAGTTAGCAAGCTATTGGCTACATGACTAACAACAGCAAAAAGAAAGGCAGTACCACAGTTCTAACCAAACTTTATAGTCAGAAAAATGTTGTTAAAACCTTTTGCATTGCAAAGTTTGCTTGGCTAGTCATTGTGCACACTGAGGCTAACCTAGCTGAAGGGAAAGTGCGCTCAAACTGAAAAATTGACTCCTCACTGTTCCCTCCTGCCTTTATGCTGTGAATGGCCACTTGTGTAATGGTAAGTGAGGAGTCGCATTTAAAAAAAAGTATTGAAACCAGGCAAAAATATGACAGTGGGCGCACCTTATTTAGTGTTTTTTCATAATCTTAAAGAATTTTTGATCTAATGGAGTTAAATGCTTATGTGTAAATGCTTGAAAGCTTTTCACCTAAAATTGATGCCCATATACGAATTTCTTTCCACAGCTGTTTGTCGATCCCCGCTAGGGATGTCTGGGGGGCAGATTTTAGATGAAGACATTTCAGCTTCTAGTCAGTGGTCTGATTCAACAGCAGCAAAATACGGCAGGTAAGCTGTATGTGTGTGTATTTTCTCTACGAAATCTCATTATGAAGAAAATCACATCATGGTGAATGAGAGTGGTCTCCTCCAAACCTCAGTGGAAGAATGCATTTATGTTTACCCCCAAATAATGTCGGTGTCATTTAGACTAAGCTGTCCCATTAACACTTCCCCCTCATCCCAGAATGAACAGCTTTAGATTAGTTTGTGGCATGTTTTCACTTTGTGTGCTGTTATGCGCTGTTGCAGACTTGACTCTGAAGAGGGGGACGGTGCATGGTGTCCAGAGATCACTGGAGAACCGGAGAATATGAAAGAGTTCCTGCAAATAGACCTTCGCTCCCTACATTTCATCACCCTGGTGGGCACACAAGGCCGCCACGCGGGGGGCATTGGAAACGAGTTTGCCCAGACCTACAAGATCAAATACAGCCGGGATGGCAGCCGCTGGATCTCCTGGCGTAACCGTCAAGGAAAGCAGGTCTGTAACAAAGACGGCTCCACCTTCCTTCACATCCATATTAAATCCACATCTGGTACTCAGAGGGCCCACACCAAGGCTTTGTTCACATTACCAGGTTGAAGCGACTAAGATCTAATGTTTCAGGGCTGTGTGGACACGCAAATCTGGTCGTTTTTAAATCCGGCCTGAGCCACTTTCATATGCGGTCCTAGATTGGATACGTATCTGATTCGTGGACATGCGACCTTAATGTGAACGCTCAGATCAGAATTCATGTGCTTTTTTTCTACTTTTTCTACTAACAGAAGTTAAAGCCTGTAAACGGTGGAAAAGCAACACATCTCACCCTTTTTGCCTTTGTTTTACACTAAAGATGAACAGCTGAGAGCCGATCAGAGTTAATTATTTAAGCAGCGAAGGCTTATTCTTCATTAGTTTGTTTGCTGATGATGTACGTGATGCACATGATTCATTCATGTGACGTTACTGAGTAGGATGTGCACATGCGGGTCATTTCAGGACACCGGTTTGTTCACATTACTGACAGATTTGAATCACTTACCTAAACAAGTGTGAACCATCGTGTCAGAGACATTGGATTTGAGCAAAAAATCAAATTTGAGCAATGAGGCTTGTAATGTGAACATAGCCTAACATATTGATGCCCTTACCATGATCCGTTTAAATATGACAGCCCATTCAGCCTACAGCTGTTTAGCCTACCTATTAACAATGTGAAGTGATGTGGAGTGTTGTTCCTGCAGTCTCTAGCAGACATTCAGAACAAAGGTTATTTCCATATTATTGCTGAAAGTCTTTGTAACTTCTTTTTTTACTGATGAATGGACCAATAGACATGGCCCAATATTATTTGGAATGCAATCTTGGAATGGTCTTTTTAGGTGTCTTTTCTTTATTAACAATTTAAGACCCAAGGCTTATTATTCAATTTTTATATGGAAAACAGTGCAAACAGCCTGAGTTACTGAGGTCTAGGAGTACCAACTAAAAGTCTGGACTTACCTTAAGGCCCTAGTCTTTTAAACTGTGGATTTTAACTCCAGTCCTGTTGACACACATTACCCTGCATAGTTTCACGTGTTCTCTGCCCCCAACACACCTGATCCAGTTCAGAAAGAGTTTGCTAATTAGTTTTGGGGCAGGGAATAGTTGAAACTGTGCTGGGAGTTGACTGATTTATGGATTAATTAATGTCTTTTAAATCAATTGTGCTATATTGACTATATGTGAACTGTATTATACAGTGCAAATCATCAGATGGCTTTGTGACTGTGTGATGCTGCTGTGTTGAAGGTGATCGAGGGGAACAGGAATGCCTATGACATTGTCCTGAAGGACCTGGAGCCACCCATCATTGCGCGCTTTGTGCGCTTCATGCCTGTCATCGACCACTCCATGAATGTGTGTATGCGCGTGGAGCTCTACGGGTGTGAATGGCTAGGTATGATCACAAGCTGAGTTCAGCTAAAACCATACTGTAGTTTCATTTTCACGACTTTAAGTTCATTTTATTACTCTGTAAAACACTAGTTTAAAAATCTTATTATTATAAAAGTTGCCTGGCTACGTTCTTTGGTCAGCCGTTGTTATGCGATAAGAAAAACGTACCAACTGCACTTTTTTGTGTGCTGACTAAGAGTTGTGATTTCATTGCTCCTACTGAAAACCAACTGACACCCACCTCATAAAGCTTAATGATTAAGCTCATAAAAGCAGTCACTGTTTGTTTGGCTTGACAACAATGTCTGTCATGCCCCATTCATCCAGGGTCACATTAAAACTACTGCTGTTCTCAAGTCCATCAGTAACACACATCATAGGCAGCTCACTGTTGTTAGGTTAAATTTCCCCACTTAAAACTTGACAAGACAGCATTATTGGTAATGTAGGCTAGAATAAAAAAACACAGCTCTTGTTATTCAAAAGGTTTACTCTCTTGACATAAAAACAATGAAACAATGATTAATCTTTCAGCCCTGTACAAGAGTACTTTTAAAGATACTTTCTCTGGACAGACAAAGCACTTTTTGTAAGCTGCTCTGGATAAGAGCATCTGCTAAATGCTGTAAATGTAAATGTAAATGTAGTACAGACAAAACACACGCTTCAAGGTGACTGCTACTACTGTTTTTAGCTATGCAACATACTGTTGTCCATTTTTGTAGAAGTATGTCTTAAAGTGTCAGAAACCACATAAACAAGTCTATTTGAGATTACTTCAACAGCTCAACATGGTTAAAGTCAAGAATATGATGATTTAGGCATGCAGTAATATTAACAGGGAAGATATATGCTTCTATTACTTACCACATTAGTCTAGTAATGGAATACTAAAGAAGCAAACTTCAGGAACAGAGCATGTTGGCTGATTGACTATACATGGGAGAAGGGGAAAACTGAGAGCGAGACAGAAAGTCACATCCGCCATGATAAGTGTCTTGGTTTAGAGATTCTAAACAATTATTACTTGGGTGCTATCTAGGTGTGTTTCATTTATAGCAGACAGCAAGATAAGGGCAGTACGGAAAAGGTTGAACCGTGTATCAGTGAAACCACTAATGTTCATCAAAGAATAAACAGCTACAGTGGCGGACAGCAGCTGGACACATTCAGCTCACCGTGACCTAAACCACTCTAAACTGCTCTCTAAAGCTCTGTTAGATTGTGAACAGATAATGAAGCGTGTTAATGGTGGACTTAAGAACAGCAGTAAGCTTTAATGTGACTCAGGATGAATGGGGCATAAGAGCCACTGATACACGCATCAGCCTTTTCTCCACTGCACTTTTCTTGCTGTCTAAACTGCATATGTATGATATACACCAGTTGTTTAACTGTTATGTCGTTCCCTTTTTGGTTACCATTTTTCTTAGTATAGTTACTTCATTGTTGCAGTTTACCTATTGAGTTTATTCTGAGTCAGTTTACAGTATTGTCCTTTGTGTATTTCCAGATGGGCTGGTGTCATACAATGCACCACTGGGCCAGCAGATGACCCTCCATGGCCAGCTTATTTACCTGAATGACTCTGTATACGATGGTGCCATGAGTTACAGGTCAGTACTCTGTCTATGGGCCTGAGAAGGAGCTGTGGAGTCAGGAAGGAATTATGTAACTTGCCTTCCTGCTTAGACTAATCCAAACTAACCTTAAAACTATTGTCTATTTCAAACCTAGTGACTCATTACAATAACAGGAAGAACTGCTTGTCTGTTTGCAGATCCTATGTAAAATATGGTTTGTCAAAGCAGTGTTTAACATTAACATGCCTATGTCCATAGCATTCTAGGTCCTCCTACGCTAATTCAGGGTTTGGAGTAGGTCTGTGTGGGTTACTGAAAGCCTGGGATAAGGCAAACTGACCCTAGATCAGTTCAGATGAAGGGTGACCAGAGTGGCACTGTTATTGCATCCGGTTGCTATGACTACAGCAAGAGACGGAGATGAGAGCGTGGTTTCGGTGTTCATGGAAGGATTTGACTCATGGCTTCCTGAACAATGCCTTCCATGACACTGTGTGTGTGTGTGTGTGTGTGTGCAGTACCACAAAGAACAGCCCACACTCTCACAGTCATAAAGCCACTAAATGAAAGACCTCATTTTGAGCATTGGGTGAAGGTATGGGTAAATACTAACACAGTGCTGGCACCTAGTGGTGAAACTGGTCAGAGCAATCATCTCCAGGATCAACTATGTAAACCCAAATTGTGCATAACTAGGAGTGGGCAATATATATAATAATACTATGATAAATATATCACTGCATATCACTGCTGCCAAAGAAAGCATGTATCTCCATTTTTTTATATTTTAATTTTGCTACATCATTGAGCACAGCAGCTGTCTATTACATTGTGCAAAATCTTCATAATGAACGGACCAACAGAAATGCTCCAAAATTACTTGGAATAAAATGTCTTTACATTTGTGTTGTTGTGAATGTTTTTGCTACTTACAATAGTGAAGGCTTTTTTGACAGTAAAAATATGAGTATCATCAGTACTTTGAGAAGACTGAACAGCTTCATGTGTAAATATACAGTACTGAGAGAGATTTAAATCAGTTATAGAGGGCTTGTAAATAGCAACCACTGTATAGTCAGTGCATAGTAACAGGTAGCTTATTGGATCATTATGCTTGGCTTTCTGTGAACACTGAACTGAAAAAAATTATAGTGATTTTCATAACCTGTTTACAATGTGACACTACTTTTTTCTGGTGCATTTTGTCTGTTCCAACTTGTTCACAAACTTTATAAATACTTTGATATGTATTTATCATGTAAATGCCTTCAAGTATCATAATGTTATATTTTTCTATATCACCCACCCTTATGTTTAATTTTAATGCTGCACTGATTTTCCTAGTTTGCTTAAAAATGTGGGACTAATTATGTGGAGAATGTAAGAATCATTGTGGATCCTAATCGAATCAATTTCTCCTTCTCTCTCTCTCTCTCTCTGTCTCTCTCTTTCTCTTTCCCTCTGTAGTATGACAGAAGGGTTGGGGCAGTTGACAGATGGTATGTGTGGTCTGGATGATTTTACTGTCAGTCATGTCTACAACGTGTGGCCTGGCTATGACTATGTGGGCTGGACTAACGAAAGCTTCCCCAGTGGATATGTAGAGATCATGTTTGAGTTCGACCGAACCCGCAATTTCACCACCATGAAGGTATTCTGTTACAGCATGGGCCCGTCCCATCTCTCCTTGTTTCAGTGTTGTTCCCCTGCCTTTTCATGACTCATTTAGCTGTTTCATGAAAGCTTTCTAAAGAAACAAACTTACAAAGGATCTCAAGACATACACTAAGATGTTAATAAGTGTGTTCTTAAAGGACCTGTGTCATAGAAAATGGAATTTTTTGTTTATATAAAAGTATTTAATTACTGTATATAAGCACTATTAATGTTTTAATGTAAAAAAAGCCCGTTTTGAATTCACTGTTTTTGTGATGTCACACTTTAGCCCCACCTGTTCACAAGAGCGTTTCAGCCCAGACTGGTTTTTTGAATGAGGCATAAAGCGGAAAAAACAGTCAGAACAGAGCTATATACATATATACATTATGGCGTCAATATAGAAGTAGATGACGCAAGAAACACTGTGCTTTAAATGAGTGCCCTTTTATTTACATGCAGCAGGGGTCAGCACTATCTTAACAGCAGTGAGGCAGGGTAGTTCATCTCTCATTCATGGTACACACCAAACCCAACCAATCAGCCCCACAGCCCAGCACATTAACACAGCACATTAACACATCTTCAAGCCAAAATAACAACTATTTACATGTTAAGTCTCTTACCGCTGCCACCCGTGGCGCTCTGCATAGTCACGCCTCCCCCGCGTCCACACACGCACATATATATAACAAAAAGTAACAAAAGAGCATATTTAATTCTAAGGGAGAAAGAATAAAGAGAAGTTGGAAAATGGTCATGTAAATATGAATTATGACAAAAATAAAATATAAGAAAAATGTAGGATGTGGCCCCTTTAGATACTCAAAAGAAAATTTTCAAGGTTCTAAATATTTTTTGAAAAACGTTTACAAATATTCTTCTAAGAAAGTTAATGTCACCGCCTCATCTGTTCCATTTAGAAGTCTGCACTTGTGCATTTTCCCGCTGGGCCCGTGGGACATGCCACAATATCTTGTGCCGCGGGCCTAATTTTCAGTGCTGTGCATGGGAGTGGGCGGGAAACCAGCCCACTGCAGGCAGGAGCGGCCGAAGCACACATGAAGAGAAATCCCGCAAATTAATGAATAGCCTAAATAAAGTAGAAAGACAACTAAATCATATATGTATATATATATATATATATATATATATATATATATATATATATATATATAAAATGAAAGCAGTTAAAATGATTGAAGTCATTCTAAAGAGTCTAAAGACAGATCACGTGAACAATTCTTGTAGCTCACAGAGACGAAGGAGCCTTCAGTCTGATGGCCACAGCTGCCGAGCCCAGCAAAACAATGACAGTAACCGTTCTGTGGTTTAATTCATGCTTAGTGTTTACTGGGAATAAATGGCATATGGTGAAGTTGCTTCACAGTGAGCCTGATGACCATGACTGTCATGTTATTTCAGCAGAGGATAATGTATTTGTGAATAGACTGTGTCAGATATTGGATGTCAGTTTGCCTTGACAGACCTGCACAGGCCAAAATGTTTCAGTTGCGGATGGGAGCGGGACAAATGATTCCAATTTTCTGCGGGATTGGGCAGGAGCGAATTGAAATCTTGCGGAAGCCTGACTTAAAAAACAGTCCTGCACACACCTCTAGTCCGAGAAGGAAGATATTTAAGAAGATTTTATTTTTTAAGAGAGTTGAATGTGATTTAAGGTCTTTACCTAGTTTTTCATCTTATGAGTCACACTTCTCTCTATCTCTGCTCCTCCTCCTGTTTCAGGTGCACTGTAATAACATGTTCTCTCGAAGAGTTAAGACCTTCCAGAAGGTGGTTTGTTATTTCCGTTCGGAGTCAGACTGGGAACCTACCCCTGTTTCATTCAGCCCTGTAATGGATGATGTGAACCCCAGCGCCCGCTTTGTCACCGTATCCCTCAACAACCACATGGCCAGTGCCATCAAGTGCCAGTATTACTTCTCTGACATTTGGATGATGTTCAGCGAAATCACCTTCCAGTCAGGTTAGCTTGAAAATGCTGTGTTAAAAATGTTCATCATTATGACTGTAGTGATGCTTTATTTGCACAGTTAACAAATCAATCAATAATATCTCATATCTTTATATACATAGTATGTTTCTAGCCAACAAATTAATTCCTCAGAATTCACAGAAGTTTCACTCCTATATGTGCTTCTGCTTTTCCAGATACAGCAATGTATAACACCACTCTTGCCCCCCCGAAGACTGGCCCTCCAACCAGCACACAACCAGGTTAGACCTCCTGCTGATCATTCCGTTTTACTACAGTAGGTTCTATAGACACATCCCTGACCCAATAAATCTCTCCTAAGTTCAACGGATTTGGCTATTTTATTCATAAACTAATAAGAGCCTTTTGGAAAAAGATACAAAGAGCAATCACCAGGCACCAGGTTGTCTGGGCCAAATCTGACCAGTCAAGTTTAATGGCCCCAGAATCCTCTGAGGACTTTCCCAGCCCCCTTCTTTTGCTGTCTCTTTCACCTCATGGTAACATTGTGCAATGCGGGGCCTGACCTCAGAACTGTCTCTCTCTTCTCAACCCACCTAGTATGTCTGGAGACTTTTGATTTACAAAAGTAAATTCTAGATACAAACTGCGTTTTATGACTTTTGGAAATTCTCTTCCTCACACACACATCTCATCTCCCTACAGAGAAAGGCATTTGACAAAGACCGAGATAAGACGACCAGATAACCGTGAGCCTGCTGCGCTAACCTGCTTTCTAAATCCCCTTTTGCAAAAACCTTGAATGCAATCCATGAGATTGTAAAATCCTTTAGGCCCTTTTCAAAGACTAATCTTAAAACTCAGCTTCATACTCCTGTTTTCTGGGAAACTGTGACATGCCAATCTTTAATCAAATGCTAAATTCAGTGACTCTCCTCTCCTAATTGAACTGCTAAAGAATAACTGTCTCTGTAAAATATCAATGTGTAACTCATATTTCTCCATGCAGAATTGTCAATGTGAATTAATACTAAGATTTCCTACTGTTTAATTTTTTTTATGATTCTCAAACTGTAATTTCTTTCATCAAAATTATTATTTCGATAGTTTAGAGCTTCTTATTTAATTATTTAAAAAATCTCATAAAGATAGAAAGTTAAATATATTCCTGCGAGTCATGTTTTAACTTCATATTTGCTCTGTTCTTTTGTAATCATGTTAATTTCTCTTACTCCTTGAAGAACAAGTAAGTAAAGTAAGTAAGTAAAGTTGTAACTTGGAAAATTCTTATGGAAAATGCCCTACTTCAAGCATAATGGAGGTTCCACCATAAATATCCACAGGAAATATTAATAGTAACTAGATAATGTACTCAGCATTTCTTTTACTCCATGCTATGTAACTTCCATTTCATTGTTTAGAGATGTTAACCCTAACTAATGTTCTTTTCTTGAGAAATCTAATTTCCTTAGTAATCATGTTCTTTTAGAATATATAACCATGGTGTGAAATTAGAGTACTTTTAGATATAAACATCTGTAAGCTCAATAGTTTTCTATTGAAACAGTGATAATGTTTATATATGAAATTGCGTTATAATGTTCTTTTACTTAATGCTGTGCAACCATGATCAGTAATCTATGTATGTGAAGTTGTCTTATGGTGAATTTGAGCAGACATAGACAAAGAGATTGCATATTCATTAAAAACTGAGCGCAAAACCCATTTTTCCCCACCTTAGCTCTGCCCACAAGAGGTCTGTTCACATAAGGGGAGAGAGAGAGAGAGAGAGAGAGAGAGAGAGAGAGAGAGAGAGAGAGAGAGATGTGACTGCCATGAAAGGACAAGAAGAGACCTCTCTCCTTTGCACTTTAAATCTGCAGATTTTTGATTTTAGATTTTTATTTTGGTTTTGTGTCCCAGTTGAACATTGAATAGTTGGACTCTGAATAGTCTAAACGAGCTGTGTTTGTTTTCAAGTGGCATTGATTCATTTGGAAAGTTTACTGGCCAACAAAATCTGTGAGCATAGTTTGAGTTACGGACAGAAGTAAACCAGCGCTGACTGCAAGCCATTACAGAAGTCTGCTTCAGCAGCCTGGTGGGAAACTGTGGCCTAACTTTATCATCCAGCCATTGCCAAAGAATTGAAGAACCTGCCATTCTTATCAGAGGCCGACACAAGCCAGTCGACGTTCACCGTGCTCATTCCTCCAGGCCAGTCTTTGTGGTGTTTCTGGGGTAACAGCCCAGTGACTCTGCTGTGACCTGAGAACCCTTCTCTAAGCAGCACGCAGGCCTGTGGCTCTTCTTCCCAAGCTTTAAGCCAGTAAGGCACTCACTTCTGTAGCTTTACGATACTGTATCGGCACTGTGTTTCTCCAAACCTAGATCAGTTGTTACACTAGTATTTATATTCCAATGTGTATGTGTATTGCTCAAACACCATAAAATGACTATTTCTGAGGTTAGTTAGCTGCAGTATGTTTATTCAGTAAGTCTCATGTCTCTGTTTCTCTCTGCATACCTATTAGTCTAGAATTTAGTACCTAAATACCCTGTTATCAATAAATGACCCTTTGTTAAAGTTATCAGTTTGGTTGTGTGTGCAATTGTCACAATCCAATCAATCGATCACTGGCTACAGGAAAACCCTGAGATGAACCTAAAGTAAGTTGCGTTTATGGTGTAAGTGGGTAATAAATGAATTAAGTGGCATCTCCTGCAACATAAGCATGTTGCCCACTCACTCAAAAGATTCTTTCCCTTTGTATCCCCTCCTTAGGGGATAATCCCATTCACAAAGTAGATGACAGCAACACCCGAATTCTCATTGGCTGTTTGGTAGCCATCATCTTCATCTTGGTGGCCATCATTGTCATCATACTCTGGAGACAAGTCTGGCAGAAGATGCTGGAGAAGGTAAGGTTTCTGCCATGCAGTCATTCATATTTTCCTGGCATAGTTAACTAGACTGTGGGAGCTGAACTGCACAGTCATCCAAATATAGTGCTGAATTCCACCAAATGACCTCTCAAATACTCACACCAAAATACTGCATGCAATGTACCTGATTCAAATTCAGATAATTTCCACATGGATACTTAAATGAAATATATTAAACACAGTTATTGTGTTGATGTAATAAATTTTATTCTTTTGAAAGTGATTTTAAGAACAGAACTAAGAAATGAGCTAAACTGAGCTGTCTGTTAAGTCGACTGTGTAAACTCTATTGGTGCTCAAGGAAACATGAAGACAGTTGAATTGCAGTACTTAAGGAGCCTATTGTTACCGTTATAAAAGTCATCCTCCGACCATAAAAAACTGTCACAATTGTGACAGTGAAAGGTCTGGAATAAAAACAATGCACCATTTCTTTTGGAACCTGTCTGTACTTTGAATTTTTGCACTCCTTTCTGTACGCCTCCTCTGCTCTTCTGGCTTCCTTCACTGAGGCTCCTGTATTCCAGGTATCCCGGAGGATGCTGGACGATGAACTAACTGCTAGTCTGTCAATACAGAGCGAGACCTTCACCTATAACAACAACAACCCCTCCTCAGCGCCCAGTGAGCAGGAGTCCAACTCCACTTACGAGCGTATATTTCCCCTGGGCCCGGACTACCAAGAGCCCTCCCGCCTTGTCCGCAAACTGCCCGAGTTCTCACAGACCTCAGAGGATACTGGTGAGTTCTGGAATTTTAAGGAATAATTTGGGGAAAAATCAGATGTATACCATTTCCTCCAAATGTAGTTAGTCAGCAAGGGTGTGTATGGTTTCTGAAGTTTGCACACGAAATATGAGGTTAATGTAGCTAATAAGTAAAGGTAGCTTATAGTCCACCCATCGCTCTTATAAACTGCGTGCCTATATCTTCACACTGCATTTGCTTTAGAAAAGCCCATGCAATAAAAAGCAACACAAGTTTGTCATAGTATGTAAATGTTAAAGTTTCAGGACATACCATTCATTCCACCGTCCGTACAGTCAATTTATGGAAACCAAGCTGCAAAAAAAGCCTATTTAAATTCACTGCTTCTATGATGTCATGAAAACTAGCAAACTTACATGTATCCATGTATTCAGCCTACAGCAGTTTAGGAACCTTCCATTCACACTGAGGTTATGAAGAGTGTTTCAGCCTGGACTGCTCTTTGAATGAGGCACAATACAGGACAGTCAGTCACGATCTTCCTTTAAAAAAAAAAAAAAAATGAGTTGTCCTATTTGTTGTCATTATAGTTACCGAATGACACTTCTGCTAGGCTTTACATGATTTTTAGAAGTTCCATTTTCTGTGTATGTTTTAATAATTCTTTGAACTCTTCTTCCTGTTGCAAGTACCTTATTTTGTATCTTAACTCCTCAGAAATATCTGCCAAAAAATACTTGTACATATTGTCTGTTTTGACTGGAAATTAAATAAATTAAGTTTGGTCTCTGACTTTTGTACAGTACTGTACATTACTTATTGGATTTAAACTAAATATGTGGTGTATTTACAGTAATGTAGGACATACAGTAAAGTAGGACATGAATATTATATTCAAGCTGTGCAAAATATGCAAGTAAATAATAATAAAAAGGTCTAGATTCCTGCAGTGCAAATGCACAGGTATGAAAGAAGAGTCCTGTATTGTGTAGTTATGCTTATATTAAAACTACTAGGACAGTAGACTGCCTTAGACTGCTTGTACTGCTACATGTAACATAATATGAAGGTTCTTAATGTTCATTTGCTATGTGCTAAACGTCTTTGTCTCAACAGCTACAGTAACCTTCAGTATTATTAGAACAGAGGTTATTTACATATATCAGCTTTAAAGGCACAGTAACAGACTCGTATCAGTTTCAAAGGCACAATAACTGTTTAATTTGAAGGGTCAAAGAAGTCGGAAAATGGATATGCAAAAATTAATTATCACAGTCTTTGGTACATAAAACCATGAAAACAAGTTGACTTAAGGGGAAAACAATAAAATGTGAAAAAAAGAGACATGGGTCTTTTAAACAGACTTCTTTATTTCTAACAGTGTATGACAGACTGTTAACTTGACAAAATTCAAGCTGTAAGATAGCTACTCCTACTGGTTTCATCTGTGTGACACAGAGGAAAAATGTTTGAATTTGATATTCTGCTAAACTGTTTAAAATTGAAAGTACTATTTTTGATGGGTTGATATCCTACTTGCTGTCTCTTAAGTTACTAAAGTGCCTGTCACCACAGCATCGACCAGTACAGCCTCCAAGTCTCCTCAGACCAGTCCTCAAGAGGGAGCCCCCCATTATGCTGAGGCAGACATTGTCAACTTGCAAGGCGTAACTGGAGGCAACACGTATGCTGTGCCAGCCCTCACCATGGATCTGCTGTCAGGAAAGGACATAGCCGTAGAGGAGTTTCCACGGAAACTGCTGACGTTCAAAGAGAAGTTGGGGGAAGGGCAGTTTGGAGAGGTCAGTTCTACAAGCTGAAATGATTAGAGATGATTCTGCTGTTGGTGTGCTCTGTGAAAAGATGCTGCCTGTTTTTATTCATGCATTGACTGATAATAAAGACAATGTAAGATTTATATTTTTAATAAGACAAAAAAATTGTACATTTATGGTGTTTTGTAATTGTGATGGATCAGAAGCATTCTAAGTCAAAGACAAGTCTCCCCACAGGGACAATCAAGTTTATTGTTTATAAATGGCTGCGATTGCCCAATGTGTTATAGGTGCATCTTTGTGAGGCAGAAGACATGGAGGACTACATGGATGAAGATTTCTCTTTTGATGTCAGTGACAACCAGACAGTACTCGTAGCTGTGAAAATGCTGCGAGCAGATGCTAATAAAAATGCCAGGTGAAGCTAAAACAGCATGCAAAAAGTTATTTATGGTCATCAGAGTGTCAAAAAATTGCTATAAACCTACAGAAATCTTCATCTACCATTAACCATTAACCTTTGCTGTGAACTATTCATTTTACCATCTTGTATTTTATACTTTTTAAAACTGGCATTGGTGCTGTTGGTTCTGCCATGTAACATTGGAACGTTCAGCAGGTTATATGCTTTTACTGCAACACTGATGTTGTTAATGAAACCTTTCTCTATCTCTCCATTCTCATTCTTCAAAGGAATGACTTTTTGAAAGAGATAAAGATCATGTCGCGATTAAAAGATCCCAACATCATTCGGCTGCTGGCGGTGTGTATGAGCTCAGACCCGCTCTGCATGATCACTGAGTATATGGAGAACGGGGACCTCAACCAGTTCCTGTCCCGCCATGAACCGGAGGGCATGATCGCCCTGCTCAGCAACGCACCGACAGTCAGGTAGTATCGAATGATATTCATAACTTGCAGTTATCAGTATCAGCAAAAATATTTTGCCAAAAATTACCTTTTTTTGGTCATAGTAACATCAGGATTGATTTCCAGACAATAGGACCAAACAATTCTGCCACTGAGAAACCCCCTTGTTTAAATATTTTACAGCTACACTGGTTCCATCATGTTTAGAATAATAAAGATATGTAAAATGTATCCAAAACTTTAACATGAGAATTGGATGTTGTAACACAAAAAACATTTTCTTGAAAGGAACTAATGAAAAATAACAACAAAAAAGTACTTTACAGAAACCAAAACTACAAAGTATCCTTGGAAGCTCCTTCCTCAGTCTTGGTTCCAGTCAAGTACCCTGTTTACATCTGATCACTTCATGCGTCTTAAAAATCAGGATTATATCTGCATAAGGCCAAGCCACACAAAAATGCAAGCGTAGACCCAACAAAGACTCAATTAAAACAGATGCAAATCTGATCACTCAAACCACCTCAAACTTCAGGAGGAGGTCTGAGATCCATTTGAGCCACGTTATAGCAGTGTAAACACATTCGTCTCTCCAAGATGCATTCGAAAACCAAAACCTCTAAACACAACTGAAACTCCTCCCTATGCAGTACGTCACTGGGGGCGTGATCTGGGTCTACGAGGAAGATAAATATGGAGGACGCTCATGTTTGGGCACTGGATGCAACAAAAAGCTTCATAGCAATATGGACACTCCTGTGCAAAACAAACTGCAGATGACTTAATAAACAGTTGGTAACTGGTTGCCACATAACAACGGATTTGCACAGTCCGTCCAGTTTTCAGATTTCAATCTGACTAACCGAAGATGTATTTGACTACCGAGTGTAAATGCATGTGGAAAAAATCTTATCAGGATACAATCCAGATACTAAACGCTAGGCGTAAACGGGGTCATCATATAAAAATATCATGTAAAATTACAGTCTAATATATAAAATTTTGTTGGTTGGTGTTGGTATCAGTTACAGAATTTCATATCGTTTGGGTCCTGTCAGTCGAGTGCTATCTACATGCACATGCGCATAGGAGTAGTACTGATATAAATAAACTAATACTGACATTAATCAGAATCAGAATCACTATACTGGCTAAGTACACTTGCATATTCAGGTAATTTAGTAGTACAAGTCTTGTTGGTACATTGGACAATAGAGAATGCAAACAGTAAGCAAATATTACAAAGAAATACAATTACACAGCCACTGAATGAACAGTAATGTGCAAAAGTCAGAGACCATCCTGTTGTTTATATAATTTCCAGTCAAAACAGCACTTCTACCAGGTCTTGCATGGTTGTTAGGTGTCCCATTTTCTCTATATCTTTTAATAATTCTAATAATCCAGTTTTGAAAACGTTTTTTTTTATATCTAATCTCCTCAGAAATATCTTCTGAAAAGTGAATAATTTGTACTTAATGACCTTTTTGATTTGTACGTACATAAATGAAGGGCAGTCTCTGATATTTGCACAGTACTGTACATGATCCACAGGATTTAATCTAAATATGCAGTGTGTTTACAACAATACAGGACATATAGCAAAGTAGGACATAAATAGTAAATAATACAATAATAATAATAATAATAATAATAATAATAATATACCAGTGCTAGATTCCTGCTGTGTACATGAAATGATTAGAAAGAAGAGAGTTAATATAGTAGTTATGCTTATATTAGCAACCAATAGGACAATGCTTCTGCTGCTACATGTAACATAATATGAAGTTTCTTAATCATTTGCTGTTTTCTGTATCTTTTTGTCTTTGCAGCTACAGTAACCTTCAGCACATGGCCACCCAGATCGCTTCGGGTATGAAGTACCTCTCCTCACTTAACTTTGTGCACCGAGACCTCGCCACGCGCAACTGCCTGGTAGGCAAAAACTACACCATCAAGATTGCAGACTTTGGCATGAGCAGGAACCTGTATAGTGGAGATTATTACCGCATCCAGGGCAGAGCCGTGCTGCCCATCCGCTGGATGTCCTGGGAAAGCATCCTGCTGGTGAGACGCTGATGTATCTGGCCTATGAACATTTTCTCTCTTACAGTAACACACACATACACAGACATGGTCAGGCTTAAGGCATACTGTGTCAGTGTGGGTAGGCTTGAATGGACTAAAACTGCTAATGAAATGTAAATCTGATCCAGTGGCTTTGTATGTACTTGGCAGGGTAAATTTACCACGGCCAGTGATGTTTGGGCTTTCGGTGTGACTCTCTGGGAGACGCTGACGTTCTGCAAGGAGCAGCCGTACTCGCAGCTCTCAGATGAGCAGGTCATCGAAAACACAGGGGAGTTCTTCCGGGACCAGAGGCGACAGGTAGTCTGCATTCGGGGAAAAATCATATCATGTCATATCCTACTTTGGATGATTATACAGTACTGTAAATTAGAGATGAGTCTATGTATTTCATTTCCAGTCAAAATGTTCACACATTATTCATCATTCATCATTAGAAAACGAGCAGAAAATCAATTTAAGAGAAAAATAATAACACAGTTTCCTGTTTTAAGTGTATCTATTCATTGCTTTTATTACAGCTTCCATTCATATCAGCAGACTTACTGTCATTTTTTCAAAGAAATCTACAGCAATAGTTTTCCACACCCCCAAAGTTCAGTCTTAGAAATTGGTTACATTTTCTGCTTCTCACAATTCCAGTAATCCCAAACACATTCAGTGATATTAAGGTCTGGACTCTGGGGTGGCCTTTCCATTGTTCTGAGAATACCAGCAGCTTCTTTGTTTGATTTCTTTGTTTAATTTACACATTTTTTCTTTTTAAACCTATTTCCATTTCTCAGTAACACCTTCTTAACAGCTACACATCCTTTCACACCCATAGTGTTGAGTTGTCGTCTCACAGTGGAAGGATGGACAGAAATACCTGTGAATTTTTTCAGATCTGAAGCAAGAATGGAGCTTGATTTTCTCCTCTCTCTCAAAGATGAAAGTTTTAAGTAATGTTTATGTGATGGTAACAGTTTTGGTGGTCTACAGGGTTTTGCATGGTTGTTAAGTGTCCCACTTATTTTCCTTTGACTTTACCTTTCTTATGCAAGTGGATTATTTTCTATCTAATCTCCTCAGAAATATCTCAAAAAATAATAATAATAATTTGTGTTTACTGGTCATTTTGACTGGAAATTAAATAAATGAAGGAAGGTCCCTGACTTTGCATACTACTGCATGACATCTAACATTTCTTCTACAATCAAAGGTATTAATAGGGAGGTTTTTACTGCAGTAACAGCCTATACTCCTTGCACTAGATGTTGGAACATTGCTGTAAGGATTTTAATTTACTACTATGATTTACTACGTAACTTCTCAATCCCTGATTTCTGTATTGGCTACATTGTAAATGAGGGTCTCCCCAGTGTACTTTGAGCTTAAATAAAGGTTAATTTATTGATTTGATTGCATTCAGTTACAAGAGCATTAGTGAAGTCTTGTACAGATGTTGGATGTTTAGTTCTGGATCACAAACGTCACTGCAATTCATCCCAAAGGTATTTGAGCTTCATCACTCCAGGAAATTAAGTTTGAATGCTGGGCGGGCTTTTTACCCTTCTAACCAATCCTTACCCCTGGCTCACAAGCTGTGCGATCCAGATATCAGAAAAAAGCAAAGTGTGTTTTTTCTGATATTTAAATCTGAAATTAACAGTTTATTCTGTGTACTTTACACATTTACATGTGTCAGACTTAAAGTCGCAGTAACAAACACAACTTATTTAATTATAAATTATTTAAAGGGATTTATAGAGCATGTGAAATGGTCATGTAAAAATAAATTAGTTGTTTTTGGTACATAAAACCACATGTAGCCAAATACAAAAAAGTGCACTTAAGGAAAAAAGAAATAAAAACAAGTAAAACATTGAATAGGAGCCCTTTAAAATATCTACCATTGATGAGTATATTCTCATTCCTAGATCTACTTGCCGCAGCCGCCCTTGTGTCCGGACCCCATCTACAAGCTCATGTTGAGTTGCTGGCACAGGAATGCCAAAGAGAGACCATCTTTCCAAGAGATCCATCGAATACTGCTGGAGTGCAAGCCGTAGTGTCTGCTCCTTTGCCAACCCCAGCACTGCCAGAGACGCTTTAGTGTGCCCACAGGACTCCAGACAACTACACACCCGCACATACACTAACACACACCTCCTTCCGCACAGTCTCATATAATGGTGTCCAGGATCATTCTACGTTCTGTTGTTCGGAACTGAAGAAAGTGAAGGCAAAGTGAAATATGTGGTATACAAGAACTTTGTCATCATTTTGAATGAGGCAAAATGCCTTTGGTTGGCACAAGGTAGAGGACAAAGAGGCTAAAGAAAATGTAGCAGTGAGTTCAGGCACTTTTTTAAAGGAAAAATAGCTTTGTATTTTTAAATATTTTATGCTTTTAACATTTGTTAACTCCTAGATAATAGTTCAAAACAATAGTGAAAACTTAGTGAAGCGTGATATAATTGCAAATATTATGTCTTTTCCAATGCGTTAAATTAGAAGACAGCTTGAATGTAAATAAGAGTTTTGATTTTCTTTTTAAATAATCCAGATTTTCATGAATCTTCACAACTGTTTTAACACTTGCGTCTCTTATTTTTATCTTCATCTCAGCCAGTTTTATTTTTTTTTAGTAAACTGAATAACCACTTTCAAATAAGTGGATAAAGCCCAAGCATGCATGGACCTAAACCTGTCATTATTAAAAAAAAATTGTTTAATGTTTAATATTTTAACATATTGACTAGACACTTTCCAAGGTTTATTAAAGGGGAATTCCACTGATTTTTGAAAAACCTCTGCGTAACTCAAATGTTAAGATGTAAACATCATTCAGAGTGTTTAATATAAAATAGTGCATTGATTGCTTTACAGTGATGGTGATAGGAACCAGGGGCCTTGATGTCTCCAATGCAAATATAGCTATTTTATTTATTATCCAAAATGGCCACTCCTGAGTTTTTATATGTTGATAATGGTTAAATAGTGGTGAATCTGAAAAAATTATATATTTATCTGCATACTATTTTGCCTCACAATGCCCTGCATGTACCTCTCCATCAAAAATGGTTTAATGGATGTTTTAGGCCAAAAGCTTATCTCAGTACTTCTAAAACAGGCATCAGGGAATGTATTTGTAACCATTTCATGTAATAATATTGTGAAACAGCTTTTAAGCGACTTTGGATATCTGGTTCCTATCCCCTCTGCTGTGGCTTGCCTATTGTTTCTACAACCCTGTTTCCAAAAGAAAGTTGGGACACTGTGCAGAATGTAAATAAAAACTGAATGCAATGATGTGTAAATCATTTAAACCCTACATTAAATTGAAAATAGTACAAAGACAACATATCAAATGTTGAAACTGAGAAATATTATGAAATATATGCCCAATAAATCCACAAATGCAAATTAAAACTTGCATAACCATATATAAAGCAGGATCTAAAAACACTGCTGCCTTCTCTGGGCCTGAGCTCATTTAAGATGGACTGAGGCGAAGTGGTAAAGTTTCCTGTGGTCCGACTACAATTTGAAATTGATTTTGGAAATCATGGATGCTGCGTCCTCCGGATTAAAGAGGAGAGAGATCATTCGACTTGCTATGAGCACACAGTTCAAAAGCCAGCATTCTTGATGGTATGGGGATGCATTAGTGCACATGGCATGGGTGACTTGCACATCTGTGAAGGCACCATTAATGCTGAACAATATATACAGGTTTTGGAGCAACATATGCTGCCATCCAGATGACGTCTTTTTCAGGGAAGGCCTAGCTTATTTCAGCAAGACGATGCTAAACCACATTCTGCATTCCTGTCATTCATTAAAAACATTTGGTGCATTATTAAATGAAAGATATGACAGACGAGACTCCAAACTGTTAAGCAGCTGAAATTCTATATTAAGCAAGAATTGGAAAATATTTCATTTCAAAACTACGGCAGTTGGCCTCCTCAGTTACCAAACCCTTACAGAGTGTTGTTAAAAGAGGGGGTGATACAACACAATGTCCCCGTCCCAAATTTTCAAAAAACAACATTTCTGAGTTCCAACATTTGATCTGTTGTCTTTGTATTATTTTCAAATAAACATAGGGTTAAAAAGATTTGCACATCATTGTATTCTGTTTTTTATTTACATGTAGCTCAGTGTTTTTGAAAACAGGATTGTAGAACGGAGCATTTCACATCAATCCACTCTGAATTACTTTGTTTACATCTTAACCATTTAATTATGCAGAAATTTTGAAAATTGGAGGAATTCCACTTTAATTCTTGAAACTATGTGACTTTGCAAGATCTACAGTAGTTTAATAATGCAAATAATTGTGTTAATATTTGTATGTTTTTTTATTTTATGTAGTTTTACTTTTTCTTCCTACTTCACATCTTGAAGGAAAACATTTAGTGGTTTCATGTGTGATATTCCGTTGTCCATTGGTTCAGTTTCTTGGATTCAAAAGTTGTCCTTGCACAAGTATGCACAAACAGCTACAGGCTTGATTCTCATTTTTGGGAATGACCAGCCAATGAATTCTCTGCATTCCGTCATAGCAGTCACTCAACTAGTAGTAGTGGTTATGAGTAGATTAAGTTGGGTGAAGATCAGTGTAGTCCGTTGTCAGTTCTAAGTCAGCTTATTTTTTCAATTGTGTATCAGTGTGCATTGTATCTTTTCTTCTGTTTGTGTCTTCTGTTTATCTTCTGTTTATGTGTTATTTTTGTGTATTGTATTTGAGCAAAGTGAAAACTATGCACTAAGCATAGCAAGTAATACCAAAATCATGTTACTCAAAAACATAGAAAAGGTCAAGATAAGCTGTTTTGCCTTTTTATTAACTTGGAGCTGTTACATATTTGGTATAAGCAATAAGTGTTTCTGAATTGCTGAAAGCCCATTTGGATAAATAGTGGATTTATAATGCTGAGATGGACTCACAGTAGGTTGTCATATGAGATGCCAAAAGTGCTGCACGTGCAAACTTCAGTGTGCTAATTGTATACCTGCTTACATAAGTATGTTGTTTATCATCTAGACCAGACATGTCAAACTGGATTCCTTCAGGCCACGGCTCTGTGGAGATGTCCAGCACGCCGAATTCAAATCATGAAGGCCTTGCTATTTAGCTGATGAGTTGAATCAGGTGTGTTTAATGAGGAAGATTGTGGAAGTCTGCAGTGCTGTGTCTCACCAAGCCTGGAGTTTGACATATGTGATCTAGACATAGGTTTGATTAATAGCCATTGACATAATCAGTGGCAGTGGTATTGTTGTAGGCTGAAATGTTTTGATGGTCTTTGGTGTTGTTAGTGAGACTTATATACATATAAAATCCAGAAAGGTAACTTTAACTGGTTGTCTGTTTAAGTCATTTTATGGTGAACGTCCTTGTGGCTGTTATCAGTTAACTTTGACCCATAGAGTGTTACAGCCTCTCTTGAGGCTCAGAGTTTGTTTGTAAAGTAGTAGTTATTTAATTGAATAAAGCATGTCATTGTATGTTAACATACCCAATAAGGTCTTTATTATTGCTTTTTATTAATTATATGAATCACCTTTCCTAAGCATTTTCCTTTGTTGCTGAACAGGAATACCAAAGTAAAATATCTCCTTAAAGGTGCAGTGTGTATGATTTAGTGGCATCTAGCTCCCTCACCCCTCCCTTTCCAAGTGTGTAGTAGAACCACTGGTGGCTGTCAGGTTTTCTGCTGTCACCTGTCCCGTTTTTGTTTTGTTTCTTTGATGGTAAGGATTCACTCTCCCTTGCTTTTTCTTGTGCTAAGTAAAAACAATGATTCTCTGTTTGTCAAAACGTGGGTTCTCAAACTTCTCACAACACAAAATGGGTAGCCAGCACCTGCAGCAACCACTGATGCATCTTCTTTCTATGTTTTCCACCTGGTGATATAGTGCCACCATCTCCCTAAGTCCAGTCACGTCACCCCGCTGCTGCACTCCCTTCACTGGCTTCCTGTAGCTGCACACATCAGATTTAAAACCCTGATGCTTGCCTACAAAGCCAAAAACAGACCAGTCCCTCCCTACTTGATGGAAATGGTCAAAACTCGAACTGTACCACGAGCCCTTCGAGCTTCGAGTACAGCTCGGCTTGACCCACCATCCTTCAAGACGTGTGGAAGACAAGCATCAAGACTTTTCTCTGTCCTGGCACCCAGGTGGTGGAACGAACTCCCACTGGCTGTCCGAACAGCAGAGTCTCTCGCTGCCTTCAAACGCAGACTGAAGACACATCTGTTTATATAGCACTTAAATGAGCACTGAATTAAGTATTGATTGTAATGTATTGTACTGCACTTACTGAAATGTATTGTATTGCACTGCACTGCACTGTGTTTAACTTTGTTCCCTTTTCTTTAGATATCAACATGGACTTTTGTTTCTAGCAGTATCTGAGCTCAGGACTGGCTTTCTCTCTAGCCTATTGGTAACTAGCAAAGACACTTTCTCTTGATAGACAAAGCACTTTTTGTAAGTCGCTCTGGATAAGAGCGTCTGCTAAATGCTGTAAATGTAAATGTAAATGTGAATGCAAGCTGCCACATCAGTGTAAAAACACGAAGAGCCAGCATTTGGTTTGTCCATTCTGGGCTTCTGTTGAAACATTGTGCCACAACATGGCAAACTCAGTTGGAAGAGGACCCGCTCCCTATGTAGATATGAAGGACTCATTTTAAGCTAAATAATGATTTGTAGTTACAGGTGATTATACACTAATGAAAGTATGGTTTTGTATACTATATTCCATTTCTGCTAATAGACGCCCCCCTAAATCTTACACACTGCACCTTTAAACAGCATTTTTGTTTTTCCCTTTGTAATTCCAGTGTGTTTAGTATGTTTTTCCCTTTGTAATTCCACAGTGTGTTTAGTATACTATTTTACTTTCCCTGTCTCTTTTGAAATTTACTGTAAGTCCTTTTCATTTCCTTTCATTTTGATTTTTCCTCCTTGAACAGAAATTCTTTACATAAGCAAAGTGTATATATGATAGTAAATGATCTTCCTGCTACTAAACAGCATGAATTTCTCACAGACAGCTGGACTCCTTCAAAGCATTTGTTTTATTATGTATGCAGGTATTAAGTTCCGAGTATGTATATTAATTTTAGTCTCTGCAGTCTTTGTAATATTTTTTTCTCTCACATGATTTCCTTCACCTGATGCCGAACTCAGTGCCTCGGGTGTGTTAGACTGAGACGTTGTAAGATGAAATAAAGTGAGGTGAGTCTGGGATTGGCTGACCGACTGCCCTCCTCCGCCACACCAGCCCTGGAGTCAAATTCCACCCTGCTGCTCGCGCTGGCCTGACTGTAGGACAACGCCATTGGCTAATGTAGTTCTTTCGTCAGACAGTGAATAGGTTTCATTGGCCGATGGCGTTATGACATCCAATCACACCATAGGGGCGGAGCCTGTGGCGGCAGCGGCCATGCTAACAGTGCAGAGCCGCCGTGAAACGGCTCAGTAGCGGGATGGGGAAAGTGGTGCTGGTGACCGGGGCGAACAGGTAAACAGCTCAGTCTGCTCTCGACATCTGTCTGTGTGATATGATTAATGCTGAGTTCGTTCAGATTGAGTCTGCTGATCAGGTGCTAAACTGTACGACACAACTTATTCTCACGCCTGTAAAACGTAAAGTATTTCCAGTTACAGTAAAGATCCACACACAAACAGATGGTTCCTCAAGGGTTCTTTAGTAAAGGAAATGGTTCTATATAGAACTATTTAATGCTTGACTGGTTCTTTATATGGTGAAATGGTTCTTCATATTGATGGTGA